TTGAACTAAACTCATAATTAAACTAATTTAAAAAAATCAATTTGTGACACATTTTTGAGATCTCGATAATGAAAATCTAAAATTAAAAATTATTGTCAAAAATGTTACTAATAGTTACCAAACATCTCAAACATATGACTTCAAATTAAATTTTTATTTTTTTTACTCATATCAATTTAAAAAGAGTGACACTAAAGCAAGGCTTTTGTGAACGAGTTTTCCGAGAAATAAAATAAAAAAAATAAGTCTTAGAAAAAGGCGTATAAATTGGTGAAAAATTAATCACAAAAAAATTAATTATTTTCTTTTAGTGTTATTTAGTTACTTTATAACTTAATTAATTATTTTCTAACAAGAGTTTTTTATGGGGGGTTTTTTGCCGTTTTTTATGGATTTCGACTCACCGTGCGCCATATGGCATTATCAATTATTTTAAAAATCTATCTAATTTTAAAAAAACTTAAAATAGGTTAATTTATAATAAAATTTTTTGTCAATTAGGCCTAATAGGCAGGGTGAATAATAACAATTTGAAATTTTAATAAAATTGTAAGGTGCGAGTTTAAATCTGAATTTTAGAAAACCAATGTATTACGTCATTCCATAGTTACATTGATAAAGACAGTATGAAGACCGATATTAAAAAAATTAACTAAATATGCATTATAATTTGTGGACTAGCCCGCTTACAAATCATAAAAATCAAAAATTATTTCCTAACGAGATCGTCTAGATCTGCGAACCTAAAAAATTTAAAAATCAAAAAAAAAATAAAAAATTACTTCCGTAAAATAATCGCTTATTGTTCTTCTTTTTCGTGAATTATCATGAAAGCTTTTGTTACATATGTTGCAAATGTTAACTCAAAAAACTCTACAAACTTTACTCTGATTATGCTGTTGGCGTTTAAGACAAAACATGAGTACCATATATTTGCTCTATGAGATGTTCATCAGAGTTGTATACTTAGTTTAAAAGAAAGCGTGGAATTCCTTTTGCTATTCCTTGATATGGCGAGAGCAATATGACCATATAAATGCTACTTTTGCTCCTTCTCAATCAAAGGTATCAATAAGAAAAACAAAAAATATCTTACTTAGTCAAGCATGTCAACCATATCTGCTTTTTGACCAGTTCCACATTTTCTCCAGTTACCAACAACATCCTCAGTTTGTTACCCGAAATCAATTGTAACAAAAGTGTGTTAATTTGGAATATCGTGGTGATAATCCTAAAAAACCCAGAAACCTATCATTTTCACCTTCAATCATAACGACAGGTGAGTTAACCGAGTTAGTTCAAGATCTTCAACTAACAAAATATCAAACCGAGATAAATTTTAGTCTAGAAATAATACATTATGGGATATTGACTTTGAAGATTAAATTTAATAAACGCTGACAAACTGTAACTTTGGTTACGCTGTAACCAAAGTTACATATCATTTCTACTGGAATAGTCTAGAATGATAGAAATCATGTTAAGCATATAGAAGGCAAAGTTGGCCACCACTTGATGTAGATACTCCTGATAACAAACCTTCCCTTAGTTAAAATGCAAAATGTGATATTACTACATCTGCAAATCAAACTGGGTCTTATTAAGGTACTTGTGAAGACACTTGATAAAAAAACAAGCAGCTTTCATATACCTAATTCAGAAATTTCCTGCATTGAGAGAGACAAAATAAAAATACATTTATAAATGAATGTAATAGTTTTATTTAAACTTCTTCATATCAAGCTTATAAAAATATTTTTATGAGACGTTTTTTTACTAATAGTTTCTATGATTCTAAATTTATTATAAGCAGCTCTTAAAACCATCGTTTTCTAGATGAAATTTAAGATAAGCTGATGTTTTACCAAGTCGTTGCAACTGACAATGAAAATATTTTGACACACTAAAAAAAAAAAAAACTTATGATTTTTGTACCAAGATATTTTAAAAAAATGAAAAAATAAGATTTGCGAATGCATTTCTTAAAAATATTCAGAAGAAGAGATAGAGATATGAAACATCACGCTGCAAAAACAAATTCATTAGACTAAATAAGACTAATTAATAAATAAATGAGACTAAAGATTAGTTTAAGGATTAGTTTAAGATAAGGATTTTTTAAAAAATGCAAAAATATGCATCTAAGGACTAGACCGAGCTGTAAAGCCCAAGTGAAATAAGGAAAAATTAGAAACAGAGAAAGAATAAAAAAATAAAATAAAAAAGTATTAGGAACAGATGTTCAGAGCAAAACAAAGGTACTAAAGTAAAGGATATAGTAAAAATAAAAAAAAATAAAATAATAAAAAAAAAAAATCAATGGTAATATAAACATCGCCAATGTAATAGAAATAATAAACTCACATTCTAAATACATACATACATACATACATACATATATACATACATAGATACATACATACATACATACATACATACATACATACATACATACATACATACATACATACATACATACATACATACATACATACATACATACATACATACATACATACATACATACATACATACATACATACATACATACATACATACACACTTACATATATAAATATACACATTTATATATACATACATACACATATAAAAAAAAAACCAAATAGGGAAAGCAGAAAGATTATAAAAATAATGGTGTTGAAAGATCCAATTGAAATTAAATAGTGGACTAATGTAGGTCCTCCTGAGGGCCACAATATATTTACCAATGATGTTTCGGAGAGCCTGATAAAAATAGCTAGCATCACTCGTCAGGGATGCATCCTTGCTATCTCTATCATCGCCTGTAGCCATAAGACTAATTAATAAATAAATGAGACTAAAGATTAGTTTAAGATTTAGTATGATAAGGATTACAACAAGTCAGATTTAATAATTCTACGTACGATTTTAATAGTAATGTGACTTTCTGTTTCTTTTTTTTTAAATATAAATTATGTGTTGTGTCTTGTTCAACAGATCTTCAAACCAATGTAAGTTTTTATTTTTTTTATTTCATGGAGTTGTAGTTTTTTCAAAAGTATCTTATGGTTAACGGCATCAAAAGATATTGACAGATCAATAAAAACTCCTAATGTAAGATATCATTATTAAATCTATCTGCTGCATAATTAATCAATTTAATTATTGCATGATTAGTTGAATAACTTTTTTTAAATTGTTTATTACACTGTATACTGTTTACCGTTAAATGATAATAAAGTCTGTTGTACATAATTCGTTCAAATAATTTTGAAAAGCTAAAGTTAAAATTGAAACAGGCCAATAATTTGAAACGTCAGTTTCTTCACCAGGCTTAAAGATTGATGTGATTATAACAAATTTTAGTTTTTCTGGCACAATTTGAGTAAGAGATCAAAACTATGAAACAATGGCGGTTCAATGCTGTCATAGAATGACTTAACTAAATTAACGCTAATATTATTGAATCTAACACTATTTTTTTTTTTTGGACTATTGAAGTATTTCTAATCTCGGTTAGATGCAAATTAGATTTTTCCATTGTTGTATTGGTTGAATTTAAAAAAGATTTTATTATTATTATTAATTATTTTAAGTGCTCTAAGAAGTCCCTACGATCTTATCACAGAGCACCGCGGAAGAGTATTTGAAAGGAAGTTCACGCCTCCTTCCTTACCGATGTTATTAAACTTACCCAGTGGTGACGTTGAACCACGGATATCTAGTTCCGGAGGCAAGCGCGCTAACCACTGCGCTACTGTTCTCATTCAACACCATGCTTAAACTTAGTGGTACTTGTCAGAACTTTTTCTGACCCAATTTTGGCCCGACTTAAAAAAAAAAAAAAAAAATAAGTTGAGTTTTTAGCTAAAATTGTTTATCATAAACCTTTTCCCCATCAATTAAAGCGTGGTAAGCTTTTGAAACTTCATTTTTTGCGGATTATTTTGACCGATTTTGCATATTATTTTAACTGATTATTTTTTTAAATGACATTATACGTTTTTTAAGTGTTGCCGTTGGTTTTTTTTCAGCAACTTTGCATAAAAAGGTTTTATGGAATGTTTTTTTCTTTTATTTTAATTTTTATCGTTTATTTCTAGCATTTAAAATACTCTTAGAAGTATTATGGTTTAAATATTTATCATAAAGAATATGTTTTTTCTTTGATGTGTTAAGATAACCCCCTGGTAATCCAGACTCAAATAAAATTATTTTTTTAAAGTATTGTAGAGTGTATTTCAATAACGAAATAATCAGAATAATAAAAAAAGGTTTTGATAAAAATAATTTATACCTATATTATATTAGTAATATTAACTATTATTATTAACAAAAACAAATCTTAATTACAAAAATTAATTAATAATTATTTTATTATAAATTGTGGTAACAATAGATATTCCAAGATGCTTTTAAAGTCTCAATTCAGATTCACAAGGTATCAAATTTCCTTAAATTTTAATTATTAATTAATTTAATTTAATTATCCATAAAAATTAATTAATTAAGCATTGTAGTAAATTTATTTTACTACTCTAATTAAATGTAGGATTACCAAAATATTATTCTGATCTTTGAAAAAATAAAGTAGGAAGGAATATAAAATACAATATCTACAAACAGACAAGGTTGCCACGGCAACAAATTAATTCACGTTATGTTGTACCTCATTCTAATCCCTTTTGAAATAGAAATGTCAGCAAAACGCTGAATACCTTTTTAAAGTAGTTTCTAGACCTTATAAAGAGAACTACTTTATTGTGAAAAACTAACAGCCCAGGTAATGATTGTCACGAAAAAATACTACTGAATTGTAATTATTGAATACTAGTTGTCGCAACATAGACTAAAATTTGGAAAAAATTATTTAAACCGAGACTATATGTTAAACAAATCTTTTAAAAAACATTTAACTATTTGCTGCCGTGCGGTAACTGTGACCCTTATAAGGTTACATTTAAAAACATTAATATAATGACGTGTGTAATGATGTTGTTAATATTTTTTCTTTTTAGTGTAATAAACGTAAACCATTGGCTTCGATTACTTCAGACGAGCAATGGGATATACAATGTATTTATTTATGGTAAAATGCACGATTATTTTTGGAAAAGCTTACAAAGGATGTTGAATTGCCGATTACAATCGTCTCGGGAATCTTTACTAACATTGGAAAAAACCAGGCGAGTTACGGAAAGTCAAAACATGAAAGAAACGGAATTTGGCGGAATGATGAAGGTTACGCCATTATTAAGTAGTGCCAGTCAGAACAGCTTGAAAGTTCTAATTTGAGCTACTTTTATTAGACCGTATAAACTTTTAGTCTCAAAAGAAAGTTTTAGACAAAACTATTATTATCAGTGATGCACATTCAAGTTGCACATCCATGCGTCAAATAATGACATATACCTATTTGTCAATAGTTGAATATGTATATGTCAAAGATTCGTTGTCTTGGATGTGATAAAATACAAAGAATCTTTTATTATTCTGTTTTTAAAATTTTTTTATTCAAAATGTTGTCGGGAAGGGCAGTGTTAGTTGAGCATTTTTACTAACAAGCTACTTAACTTATTTCAGTTATATAAGTTGACCAAAGTTAACCAACATACCCCAAATAGTCTTGGTGACACATCAGTTAGTTTTATTAGTCCGCTCTCTCATTAATAAAATGTTCTTACAGTTCTCTTAATTAAAAAACGGTAATACCATTGTGGCGTATTACGTTAAAATTTTAATCCCCAAATTTCTATCATTTAGATGATTTGCCATGCAATGTGTAGTTTTTGAGATATTTTACTTACCCAACTTGCCCTAGTGCTCAACTTAAACCACCCTTACCTAGTTTAATCAGACTTTTTTTCCCAAAGGGTTTTGATTATAAATCAAAACCCTTTGGGACCTATCAAAATTTCGACATGACATACCCAGTTAAAGTATTGATATATAAAACAAATAATATATATAGTAATATATGATAATAGTGTATATAGTCGTTACAAAAATATTTATGTATGTTATAAATAATGTTACGCTTGTTTTAAAAGTATTTTAATTTTAAAAATGTTATAATAATAAGGTACAGTAGTTATAATAAATCAAACTTTTATTTCAAGCCCAAAACTTTTTTCTTATTCAAAAAATTTCTTATTATAAGTTTTTTATTATAAGTTTATTTATTAAATTCAATTATTAAATTAAAATTTGGTGTCTCAAAATAAGTAGTTCAAAGTTATTAAATTTTGTTCAAAGGTTTCTACAAATTTCTATTTCTCAATGGTATCTATAGCTAAATGACATTATCATAACTCGTAACTCGTAACTCGAAACTCGTAACTCATAACTCGTAACTTGCAACGAAAGGTGTTGCAGATTTCAAAAATGTAAAGTTTTACCATGTTTATAGATAAACGAGTGACACGAGATAAACGAGTGACATAAAAGTCAATCTTAAAAAATGATCTCAAAATGAAGTCTTGCGCAAATCTGTAACTGCGTAGCGACAAGAAACAATGCTTTCTTTTAAACTGATATTTAATAAATCTCATAAAACAGTTGATTTTTATAGCTTTAATAAAGTTTTTCTATACAAAACGAGTGCTACAGTCAAGAGAGCTTCTCTTTTTTTAATTAATTTTATTTGCAACTCTAATTTCAAAAGTTATTTCAACTAATGTTCAGTAATTATCGTAATTATCGTACATTATTGTAGTTATCGTACAGTATCGTACTTTATCGTATATTGTCGTAAGCTTTTAAAGATATTTATTGTTTTTATTTATCTAATAAGATTTTTTACTTTTTCTCTGTGAGCGAATTTTCAACTTGAACAAGAATATCTTTTTAACTAAATAGTTAATATATGGATGAAAATTTTTTAAATTGTTTATCAGGTTACTGTAAAAAAATTTGACCAAAACAAAAATTTTACGGCTTGATGTCGTTGAGATATAGATATAGGCAGCACACATTTTACATAAAAATTTAAAAACCATTATAAAAGATATTTTTTTGCTGACTCAGCAAAAAAAAAATTAGTTTTTGTTAAAAAAATTTTTTTCCTTCACAATACCAATGTCGATTAGTGGGCTAAAACAGGCCTCGAACCTAAATCCTTTTGGTTCTGAGACATAATTCTAACCACTGCACCACGGCTGCAAGTTTTTCGCAAATGATTCGGAACTAAACAGCTTAACGCTTTCTGAACCTGGGTTAGACTTGTTTTTAGAGATGCACCGGCATATCTTGACTCAGTACTATGAATAAAAAGTTATAAAATTTAATTAACAGTTGGATATAATCACAAAATTATCTCCGTAAAACAAAAAAAATAAATACGATGTAGGAAATGATTTTTTGGTGCAAACATTTTCGAAACTAATCATTGTCAATTTTGCATATCATTTCGTGGACCATATATTTGGAACAAAATTGTCTTAAATAACTTTGATTTTTCTTTTAAATGGAATTAAATATCTTTTTTGAAAAGTAGAAAGAAGTAGTTTTTGAAATTGACAAAATACAAATGTACTTTTAAAACCTTATGAAATTATTTTTATCTATTATTTATATCGGCTTATATGATTTGTAAATGATTGGTTTGTATGATTTGAATTCAATTATTTACGATCTGCAAGTCTATATTACTATTATATTACCTGTCTATATTATTTTAACAAAAATTTTATTTTCTATTTAAATCTTGTTATTCTTTTATTATTGCAAAACACAAACTTTTTATATTTACTACCTCAAATATATTTAACATAAATACGTAAATACGTAACACCTTATTTTACAGCGGATCTCGACATCAAGACCTTATGGTCTCCTTTGAGTTTCCGCGTTCTTTCTTTTTTTATATATATTTATGAAAAATCTTTAACTGTTTATATTATTATATTTTGGCTTGCAATTTTTATAAAATATTATTAAAATGCTTTAAGATATAATTAAATATATATATATATATATATATATATATATATATATATATATATATATATATATATATATATATATATATATATATATATATATATATATATATATATATATGTGTATATATATATATATATTTCGGTTCTATTCCACCATTTTAACAATGCTTCTTTATTTACAAATATCTTTTTCTAGCGATAAAACAATCAATTTTTTAAAATCTCCTTATCTGAAAAAAAACCTTTACTTCTGATTCATAGCCATCTTACATATGATAGAGATATGATGGAGATAACATTTATAAAATAAAACTTGTACGTTATATAATATGTAGAATTCCGCTAACTCGGACTTTGAAGGAGTATATATATATTTTCCGCCTTAGCGAATTATTGTCATTAAGATCAGGTCAAGTTTATCCTGCTACTGGTAACATGTAACCCAGTACAATCTGTTTCATGTCCTGTTGCCTTGTAGGATATGCCATTTTAGGCAAAGGCTAGGAGATGCAAACTCCGACATAAAACACCACCTGCCTTTGGGGCTCTTGGTTGATTAAAGGCTAGAGATGGTGTCTCGATAAAAGTACTCATCTTAGGCAGATGTTAAATGCATTCGGCTGCTGTATTGAAGAAGGTTTCCTAGGCAAAGACTTATAGGGTTAACAGATTTTATCTGTTGACCAGCCTCGCACCCCTTCTTCATCTATTAGGCTGGCGCAGATGTATTTTTAATACATTGTTTCCAGTTTAGGATGTTAAACGCTGGATCTTCTTGACTCGATGCATGGGTTTTGCTTGTGTCTCTGCTTTTATGACTAGGCAACTCATTCTATTATCTCCAAATAAGGGTACAGCTCTAAAACTCAGTTTTATGGTTCTGAGGCCGGCTGGTAGTCAGGTTTCTCGAACTCTGTGGTAGCTCTCAGAGAGGCCGATTCCATCAACAGCTGAAAATTATCAGAGTACTAACAGTGCCATGTTGCGCATGGATGGTGTCCCTGTTTTTACTTTTGGTGTGCATTGCCAAGGCCACATTGGAGCCCTTTGTTACGGCTTAGGGTTTATTAGTGGAAATGAGACAATTGCTTTGCCTATAAAACAGTGTACTGAGTACTATCTATGTTTTGAGTCAAGTTCTTTAACAAATTTAAAAATGAATAAAATAACAAAAACCATAAAACACAAAAATCACAGTCATCACCAAGTTCGCTAAACCATTCACCAATATTCGTGGTCTTCGAAGTAACTTTGCTTCTATTGAGTCTTATCTCTGGTAAAGTTCAACAGACCTACTTGCTCTTTGTGAGACTAATTTGAGTTCTTCTGTCTCATCTTGTGATCTTAGTGTTGATGGTTATCTTTCTTTAATTCGTAAAGACTTCAATAGTTACATGCTTGGCCTAGGCATTTACATTCGTAAGAATTTAACCATTTGTTGGGAAACTAGGTTTAAATCCACAGACTACCCTTTTATCTGCTTTCGTTTAGCACCACTCTATCACCTTTCTCTTTGTTCTATATTGCTCTCCTTCATCTCAAGACTGCACTCTTCTTGATGTTATTTCTGATTATATTGACCAAGCCCTCATTCTTTATCCATCAGCCAGTACTGTTGTTGTTGGTGACTTGGATGTTCATCACACTGAATGGCTTGGCTCTAGTGTCAGTAACTCTGCAGGCATTAAGGCCCACAACTTTTGCCTTTCTCAATCCCTAACTCAAATAGTCAATTTTCCAACTCGCTTTTCAGACAATCCAAACCATTTACCTTCTCTACTCGACTTATGTCTTGTTTCTAATCCTAGTCAATGCTCAGTTTCTCCACACTCACCCTTAGGTGCTTTTGATCATGGTTTAATCTCTCTAAAACTATTATCTCATTCTTCTTCACCATCAGAATCTCTCCCTACCACCGCACATCTTACAACTACCTTAAAGCTGACTGGGACTCTTTCCGTGATTTTCTTCGTGATGGCCACTGGATAGAAAAATCTTTCGTCTTCCTGTTGACAAATGTGCTTCTTACATAACTTCGTGGATTCAGGCTGGCATGGAATCCTTTATTTCCTCTTGACAATTCCAGGTCAAGCCTCACTCTTCTCCATGGTTTTCCTCACGTTGTGCTGCTGCAATTGCTAATCGAAACCATTACTTCCATAACTATCAGCAAAACAATTTTTTAGAAAACTGACGTCTGTTTATTACTGCTAGGAACCATTGTAAAAAGGTTTTGTCAAACGCCAATGCCCGCTATTCTCAGATCATGAAATCTCGCATTTCATCACAAAAATTAGGCTCTCGTGACTTCTGGAGAATCTTTAATAGTATCAATAATACTATTAAAGATTATCCAGAATCTTTAATTGTATTAATGATACTATTAAAGGGCAAGTCTGTCACGTAAAGACAAAGCTGAATTGTTTGCTAAGAACTTTTCATCAATATCATCTCTGGATTCCACTAGTTGCGTTCTACCTGATATAGCCGTCAAACAGGTTGATCCACTGCTCGACATCCGTATCACTCCGGCTTCTGTATCTTAAGTGATTTCCTGCTTAGACTCTTCTACAGCTTGCGGCCCGGACAACATACCTTTTATAGTCTTGCAGAAGTGTTCTGCGGAGCTGTCGTCTATCCTTTCAAAACTATTTAACAAGTGCTTATCAGAGTCTTGTTTTCTAGCCTGCTGGAAAGCACCATCTGTTATCCCTATTTTTTAAAATTCTGGAGAGCGATCTGGTTTGTCTAACTACCGTCCCAATAGTCTTCTTCCTATCATAAGCAAGGTTTAT